GGTGGGCAGTGGAAGCGGGAAAGGAAAAGGGCCTATAACCTGTAGGAGAGACTCTAGACCTTGGGTCGTCTTTACTGGGGACATGAGCGACGACGGTGTTAAGTACTGTGGGAGTGCTATGTACACGTGTAAGATACGACAAACACGAAACATTTTTTCGCGACGTATGGCTCTAAACCTGTAAGGATCACATATCTCAATGAAGCCACGAATGCAGCGAAAGTATCGGGAAAGGAACCCGCAATCCAGTACACAGCCTCTACGTTCAAAGACACCCTTAATCCTGACACCGTGAAGACACACTCACAATGAGGTCTAGGACCATGTGTGGCCGCGCTTGCTGGTAATCCTCTCTCTCTTCCAATGGCGGACGATACCGTGTTACAGGTAAAACAAAATGGGTCCCTATGTGCCGGTCCCTTACCAGAGTTCTTACTCCCCGGCGTACGAACTATTTCAGTGGCTGCGATCCTCCTACCTATTCTATGTCTGCCTAGTATCCTTTCGACTGATCTGTTGCCATCTTTCAGCATTGCATGCCTCAATACACAACCTGTCAGCCTCTCGGTTCCAGCGTACTCTGACAGTGTCCGCAGTAGACGGTACGACGGCTTTCCCACATCAACTATCTTTGTCTCCCAACCCCTAGAGACTTTAACCTTCTCCAAGCTGTTCTTTAGAGCCATCCTAGCCCGCACGTCACGCAAGGTCTCGTATAGCCGCGGTATTTTCTTGCCTGCAAAGCTCAGCACGTCTGTCACGCCCAAGGATGTAAGTGATGCTTCTGCCTTGATAATTTCCATCGTTCTGTTCGTTAGATGCTGTACCGTTGGTACTGTGCAAACCGCTCTGGAACTAGTTACAAGTTGGTCGTAAGAGAAATTTTCAGGGGGCGAGGTCACAAAGCAGCCGTGGCCCACCTAGATTGTGGTAAAAGGGAGTTGCCCCCTGGCCAGGAGACAGGTGGTGAGGGATGTGCACAGGATATGTACAGTAGTAGCGATATCGGACAGCTGTATAGAAGGTGACTGACCGCACAGGACAGTCTGTCATTAGAGAGAATATATAAAGGCAAGGAGGTCATCGGACCCCATGTACACAGAGAAAGGATGAGCGTTAGCGACATGCAACAGTCGCCGCGATGTGACTTGTAGTGAGGTGAATGGAAGCGGGGGAAGTGGAGAGGAAGCAGAGGCCGTGGCGTTTGATCGTGCTTGTGATGTTGATGAGCAGCAGAGGCCGTGGCGTTTGAGCGTGCTTGTGGCCTGAGGGTGATGAGCAGCAAAGGTCTTGGTGTTGGAGCGGGCTGTAAGAGGGTGCTGTAAGAGGGTGCTGTAAGAGGGTAATGAGCAGCAGAGGCCTAAGAGGGGCGCTTGACAGTCGCCGTACGGTTGAAAATCTTGGTAAAATTGAACTCGCGATCACTTGCGCTGAGCATCAGTTCGCGGCAGAATGCGCCACGGGACCGTAACCTGTGGTAAAAGGGAGTGCCCCCTGGCCAGGAGACAGGGGCCGAGGGATGTGCACACAACAAGGAGATAATATTGCGTTTAGGGGGGTGATGATGAGGTAAACGCAAAATCTCCCTATTTGGAGTGGCGATATCCAACATAAATAATGCACCGGAGTGCAACGTCAAGTCCTTGAAGCCTGCCCTGTGATATGGCATCGGCCCCCCCTTGATTAGTGAAATTAAATGGTACGGCAACATCAACATCTTTCTCGGCCCGCGAACTCTTCGTTAGGAACGGCCCTCATCCCGCCCAAGTGTGCCCCCCCTCCAATGTTAGAGAAATAAAATCCACAAAAAAATGCAACATCGGCCCGCCCTTGCATTTGAATAAAATCACCCCCCCGCGCCAACTGTAGTCTAGTATCCCTAGTATCCTTCCCCTCTCATACCTCAACCATCGCCACATCGACAGATACGAATGCAAGCCAAATCTCACTACAGAAGAGATTACCGAGAGAAAAAAGGTGGGAAGAGGGCAAGCACACCCGGCGAAGAGTAGCTTTTTTTCATGTCGGGCGAGGAAGTGAGAGTCTCTCGACTGGCATCAGAAGAAGAGCTGGAGTGGGAGCACGTCTATCCTCACACGGAAGATTTCGAACGAGATACAGCGCCCAATGGCTTCACGTGAGACGTTCCGTACGAACACTCGTAAAACCGCCTCCAAACACATATCAAACTCAGTGTCGTTTCAACCAATTGCGTATATCCTGCGTCAACTGAGTACAGTACTATTTCAACACAACTAATCCCCGTTAACCTGTTCCGTACGAGGACATGCCCCAGGCAAAGCGAGCTACACTTCCCTGCTCCACTCATTTCGGTAGGGTATGCTCCCTCAATTAAGTGAAAGCACCTCACCAAGCTCTGTTCTCATCCCCGGTGTGTACGCGAGCACGCTTCTCGAAGTAAGGTTGAAAGGTGCGTCGATGCCATTCCCAGCGCTGCGAACCACGCCGCCTGCCTGCCGAATAATCAGCACTCCCGCAGCCATATCCCACGCATATGGCCCGCGCTCATAGTATATATCACTTCTCCCGCAGGCCAGGTAGGCCATATTCAGGGCACAGCTCCCCATCATTCGCACACATTGCACTCTGTTTTGCAGCATGGTCGTGAGTTGTTCGAGAATGAAATCAGTCTTAGCACTGTTTCGATCGGACCCACACTCGGTTGACAAGCATGCTGATGTAAGCTCTGAGACTTCGGACACTGCAATGGGCTTTCCATTCAGCATTGATACAGATAGATGTGATGCTGAGAACATTTCATCCAAGATAGGGTTGTAGATGACGCCAACTATAAATTCTTTGTTCATCGTAAAGCCTATCGACACGGCACATATCGGGATCTTGTGAACAACTACGAGCGCGGAGCCATGATTCCACATGTGAAAGGAGAGAATGAACGCACAGTTAGAAGTCTTCCTATTCTGTTCCCCCCACCTTGTAGAAAGGCGAGCGTGGCAACGAAAGACGTACAATTAGCTGTGCCGTCAATGGGGTCAACGATCCATGTCGGTGCGCTTGTCCACTCAGCGGTCGCAGCCGATTCTTCTCCAATAAACGCATGGTCCGGGAACTTGTCGCGAATGGCGCCGAATAGTTTTTTCTCTACTGCCCGGTCTGTTTCCGTTACGGGATCAGTCGCCGACTTGCGATCATATTCGCCGCGTTGTGTGTGAAATGCAGTGCGAATCATGGACCCTGCATCACGAGCCAAATCCTCTGCAAAGAAGAGGATCTCCGCGGTGCGCTCTCTTGAAAGGTCCATGGGTAACATAGTTTGCAAAGCGGCACTGAATTGATTGAAGTGAGACGATGTTACGCCGGCATGTACAGTGTAGTACAGAGACTGCTGTTCGTTTGATTTGAGCCCCCGTAGCCCGCTTCATATAGAGCCCTGGGCAAGTTGGAAGTAGTGCGAAAAGCTGCCGCTGCGTAAAGGGGAGAGGAGATCGATGGAGAGGGCATTCGTTCCTTGGCCCGGGCAGTGACGCTGGAGTGCAATAAGGGTGGGAGTGGACACCGATTCATGCGAGGCACATGTAAGTCAAAATCTGTCTTTCAAGAGACCTGCGGGAGCCCTTTTTTTCGATCACGGGGCACGTGCGGAAGCCCACGAAGCAATGTGCACCCCTTTCAATACACTTCGCAGATGCCAATGAGATCCAAGAGCTTGTCGAGACACCGCAGCCCTCTTCTTTCGATACCCATTCGTGGATCGGGGATCGTGGATCGTGGATCGTGGAGAAGCGACCGCAGGAATTGCGCCCTCCATGAAGAGGACGAGGCGTTTCACACTTACAACAACGATGTGTTCGGAGAAATCGACCTGCTCCATAGACATGGTGTCCAAGCTCCGCAAAAGATATACGTTTAGCACCTTTCGATGTAGACTTCGCAAAAAAATGATTGGACCACGTCGGGTAGGGCGCGGAGTACATCGACGTCCACACCAACAGTACAGTGGACCCTACGCATTAGGGCCGTCCTGTGCGATACTAGAAAAACGGCACTACTCTGAGGCGGCAGTGATCAGTTGGGTGAACCATTGCCCGTCCAAAACTCCGCTATTAAAGTCCGTTGTTGCTTCCGACCTTCCCTCTCATGCCTTGCTTCCAAAAAAGCTCGTTTCGCAGACCTCAAGTGCGAAAAAGCGTTGCTCACATCGCACTCCACACCCAGACTCTCCAAAGATCCGAACAACCTTGCCAGAGGATAGGGAGGTGACGACATCTTCTGCGACATGTGGCACGACCTATGTCTGCCAATCTTGGGCGGCACTAATCCAAGGGAGCCAGTAACAAAAGCGGCACTATTGAGCTTCCCCCCCTATACTGCCGAATGACGACTTTCAACACCGCCAATGATATCCCTCAGATCAAATTGATTTGCTAGCATCGCTACCACTGTGGAGAGCAATTTTGAACTTTTCCTCGCAAAAAAAAAAAAAAAAACACGACCAAGACAGTCTTGTTTAAAAACATCATTTCTTACTTAATTCACCAGCCATTTTTCCCGCAAACTTCGATTCTCTCAAGTCTTCGCTAGAGAAGACTTCTTCTTTCTGTTTTCGGTGTTGTCTGAACTTCGAGAACAATGAATACTAAGAGCACCCCTACTGTACTGGTTTAGTTATATTTCGAGGTTAAATATGATAAATTTGGCATTTGGAGATAACCATTCCAGGCGCAACACTACGGGTTAGAGAGCAAATTCCAACTTGGTGTGTAGTGATTGGAAATTTCGGCAACCGTAACGGTCATCCAGTACGAGAGGTGGTAATAGTGGTGCTGTACCGATATACTGTGGGAGACGTCACCAGTACCCATCCCCTCAAGCCCCCGCTAGCGATCATGGTCGAAAGCACATCCTCGGCATCATCTTCAGACATTGAATGCTCAGTCGAAGATCTATTTGACGATGAGACTGATGTTGCGGGGCACATACAGGCTGCCGTTTCTATGCTCATGACTGGAAAAGTCTCGCAGGAGCAACCATATCAGGGAAGGACAACGAGATCACACAATTTCAAGCGCGGCCTGTGCTCGTGGTTTGCGGACTACTTGAGCGAGAGGCCTGTTTATTCCGCAGCCAAGTTTAGAAAAGTATTCCACGTACCTCTCCGGCTCTACTGGCGCTTTTATGTGGAGTTGTTAGATCCGTAACCATCCTTTGCGCAACAAACAGATGCATCTGGCAGGCCTGGGCACTCTAGTCATCAGAAAATATTATGCTGCTTGCGTCTTTTGGGAATTGGGCTTTCATTCGAACAGCTTGACGACATGTCACGTATGAGCCCGGAAAGCCAACGAATCTACTTTCAGAAGTTTTTATTGGCCGTCATCCGTCGTTTTGGTCCAATGTTTCTCAACCGCGAGCCAGAATTAGAAGAGTTGAGGGATGTTATTTTGAGTTATGAAGACGCTGGATTCCCGGGGTGCCATGAGTGTATAGATTGTATGCATGTACAGTGGAAAAACTGCCCAAAAGCATTTAAAGGGCAGTACCACAATCCCAAAGACGGGAAGCTGGCTACAATCTGGTGCGAAGCTGTTGTAGACAGGAATCTATATTATTAGCATTGGTTTCCTGGGCGTTGCGGCACGAACAATGACCTCGCAGTGCTCGACAACAGTCCCCTTATCAACGACATCATTTCTGAGAAGAGAAGAATCTCAGTGCCAGAAGGGTACGTGGTAAACGGTGTCCGTCGCATGTGGATGCTCTACACGCTTGGCGACGGAATGTATCCCCAATGGGCAATATTTGTTTTGCCCAATCACGCCCCTCTCAATGAACGCGATGTGCATATGACGAAAAGACAGGAGGGAGTGAGGAAAGATGTGGAGAGGTTTTTTGGTTGTCTATAAGGACGTTTTAAGATCATGAGACAAGAAAGACACGCGTGGAGCGACAGCCAGCTGATACTGATTAGCCAAGTTTGTGTCATTCTTCACAACATGATTGTGAAAATGATGTTGAAAGGCGAGCTATCCGACGAGCAGAACGAACACGGTGTTCCTCAGACTGCCACAAAACTTCTACACGAGGTCTTTCAATATGATACTCCCACAACGACAGTGGCAGTAGAAGCCGGAGAGGAAAGAGGGGATGTGCAAGATTGTTTATCATACCTATTAGAGAGGGATAGGATGGTATGTAATAGAGAGCAGCACATAGAGCTGACAGAGGCGCTGTCGAATCGTCTATAGAAAATGAAAGGAGGAGGCGACCTTGATAACTAAGATTTGTAAATCTTTCTCTGCTTCACTCACTGTGCTCAGTGAAAGTGTTGGAATTCGATGCGAGAGCCTCAAGGGCGACGGGATCTTGAAACGCGTGCAGCCAGGAGAGCGGAAGAAGAGGAGGGTGAGGGGCTTATGTGAGTGGAGAAACCCGCGACAGAGTAACGTCCTGGTTGGGCGAAGGGAGCAGGCGGAAGACGTGGGTAATAGCAGTTGAGGTGATACGTGCAAGTGGCACGGGGGAAGTTTTGGAGAGGAGGGCGTTTTCGACAGGTGGAAAGGGGTGAAATAAAAGGTGTGAGAGACGGCTGGCGAGGGCAAGGCCATTTGATACTGCCGTGATCATGCGTCTCTCCACTGTGGACTCTGGTTTGACAGCTGGGAAACGCCGCACCTCTGCCTCGGCCTCGATGTTTGCAAAGACTCTCACTCGCACCCCCATGACGCATGTGTCAACTTTAATCCAGCTTTTCACTACTTTTCTCCGCTTTTTCAAAATCTCCCTCGATCTGATTGCTCTTATCCCAGCCCCCAGCCCCTGGTTACGCCGCCTCAACGTCTTCTCAACCTCCCACCCGCCCTTCATCTCCACCTTTCTGGGCTCTGTTCCTCGCCTTTCATCTCCTGTCTCCTCTCGTGCCATCTCAGACCGGACAAGACTTTTTCGAAGGGTACTCAAGCCATCCACCACTTCTCCTCTCCCCCTCGGCTCAGATTACCGAGCATCAAGCAATTGCTTGATGCTCAGTAAGAATGCGGTAAAAGCGTGTGGTGCCATTTTCAGATGAGAGTGGAG